GTGCGCAGCTTGGCAATCGACGTCGTCGTTGATGATGAGGGTTCCGGTGAATCAGCCATGGTGTCTTCGTTGAATTCGTCAAACCACTCTTGATGCCCAGGACACGAGCTACTGGGTGTTTCTTCAACCTCTTGAAACTCAGGACTCGGGGATCGGTCGATTGTGAGCTGATCTGATGGGCTCGGGCTTTCTTCTCTTCTTCTGGATGAACGGGTTTGGGCCGGCATAAAGTGATGGTGTGCGGTCCTCGGGTTTTCTTGATACAGCGGATTTTGATCAATCTCAGGTGATTCCGGGAGATATCCAGTAACCAATTGATTCCTTTGATTAATCAAGCAGAGCTAGCCGGGCTCATAACTGTTGGAACCACACACCACACTAGTGCCCAATTGAGAAGATTGATGGAATACCAATCAATAAGTGGATTAATTGAGGTCCGAGGTCTGCCCTCTCAAGAAGAGAAAAGAGGGGGGGTGGGTATCCCCAACTCTACATACATATGCCAAGGAATCAGTGGCCCCTGTTATCTCATATGACTCATGTCACATGATGCCAGGGCACCCATGTCCTTCTGTCCAAACACTATCTTTCCGCTCCGCAGTCGGCTTGGGGAAGCTAGTCGTCCCGTGGGATTGCACAAAGGGTCGCATGATTTGCGGGGACGTAGTGAATTCCACTCACTCCATAAAGTCCTGACGTCTATTCCATAGACACACTTTCGTTCTTCTGATATCAACCCAGCTACCTGTACTTGTAGCGAAGAGACCGACAGACGTCCATTCCACGACCATGGCGAGCAGTCCGCTGGTCCAGTACGCGCCCATTCTGGTGGCAGCCTTGGCTCTCTTGGGTGGTCTCTATGTCTTCCTCAACCGTACGTCTGCTGTCGAACCACAATCTCGCTCCCCCCCTACATATGCCCTCTCGCGGCAATGCACTGACATCATGTAGAGGAGAAGAAGCCGCGATTCAAGAAGGTCCTGGATCCTGTCAACTTTCAGGAATTCCCCATCTCCCAAAAGACCCAAATCTCCCACAACACGGCCATCTATCGCTTTAAGCTGCCCACCGAAGACAGCATCCTCGGCCTGCCCATTGGCCAGCACATTTCCCTCGCTGCCGAACTCGATGTCACGGATCCCAAGACCGGCAAAGTCGAGCGCAAGGAAGTCGTTCGATCCTACACCCCCATCTCCAGCGATGAACAGCCCGGCTACACCGATGTCCTGATCAAGAGCTATCCCCAGGGAAATATCTCGAGACACGTTGCTACCCTGAAGGTGGGAGACAAGATGAAGATTAGGGGACCCAAGGGAGCCTTCGTCTACACCCCCAACATGTGCCGCCGCATTGGTATGGTGGCAGGTGGCAGTGGCATCACTCCCATGCTGCAGATTGCAGAGGCCATCAAGCGAGGAAGAACAAAGGGCGACAGGACAATCGTGGATCTCATCTTTGCCAATGTCAATGAGCTGGACATTCTGCTGAAAGATGATCTCGAGGCACTTTCCAAGGAGGAGGGTTTCAACGTGTACTATGTCCTCAACAACCCTCCCGAGAACTGGAAGTACGGGACAGGATTCGTCACAGCGGAGATCATCAAGGTGAGGGATTCTCTGTCAAACAGATGGTGTTGTGCCTGATACTAACTTGCTGCTGCTGCAGGAACAACTCCCACCTCCAGCCAAGGACATCAAGATTCTGATCTGCGGTCCACCACCTATGGTCTCTGCCATCAAGAAGGCTACCGAATCCATGGGATACGACAAGGCGAGACCTGTCAGCAAGCTCGAGGACCAGGTCTTTGCTTTTTAGATGTCAGCTTGTTACCGGCTGTGACCTCGCGACCACGCACACCTCTGCTCTGCTGGGGCACGTGGAAGCTGCAAGGAGGAGCGTGGGGGCTGGCGTCGTACAGGCTCTACTGAAAAAGGTTGCGATTGTGATACAGTGACTGCTGCGTTCGAGCGCTAGATGCTGGCATCCGTACATTGATGTACACTCGTGGACGGCGTAGATATGGCGAAACTGACGACAAGACTTGCATCTTTGCAATTTCAGATCGAGTCCACGACATTGAGAGCTAATAAGGTACCACCAAGAGACTCGAGCGTCTTGAAGCCAGTGACTCGCAGTAGCAGCTGACACATGTTTACCCTATCGCTTCTCCGCCACTGATCTAGAGCCGATGCTGCTATTTCATCGACATGGAAGCGAGAAAGACATTGGTTCTTCCCATATGCAGTGTCATATGACGGATGGGCGGCAGGAAACACAAGACATGGCCCACTACTCGCAAACATATCCCCAGCCTTCATGTGCCCACATCCTTTTGGTCAAGGTTCAACCGGCTATATGGTAGGTTGGTAGGTAGGTAGGTGGGTGATCTTGACAACGCTGCATAGGTACCTAATGTACCCACTGGCCGTTTCCGCTCTGTCCTTTGAGGGCACTACCAACCTAGGATATGACGAGACACATATCATTGCTCATGGACATGGGATGTCAGGGGACATACACATACACACACATACAAAGAGCAGGCAGGCAGGCAGGCAGGCATTGACACGATGGAGAAACAGTGCTTCTTTCATATCAAAAACCACAATCACTCTTTCAGGCTGACTATGTACTGCTCAGCCCCATAGGAATCAATTAGACTAATGATTATAGCTCTCTGGATTATGCTCGAAGAAGCTCAAGAAACAATGCCTCCTCCTCCTCCTCCTCCTCCTCCTCCTCCTCCTCCTCCTCCTCCTACTCGCAAGTGCCACATTCAGCAACAACATCAACCTCTCTTGAACAATTTCAAAACCCCCCTCAAAGTCTGATGAGCCATCAACTGAGCAGGCGGAACCCTCGGTCCCACATATCCCCGAATCGGCGGCTCCCACATAGCATTCGCCCCAAAATCCAACGCATGCTCAATCTCATCCAAAGCAAACCATCGAGCCTCCTCCAACTCACTCTCAGGATACGTAATTTCCTCACCACCCTCCACACACTGTCCCATAGCACCAATCAGCAACGTCGAAGGATACGGCCACGGCTGCGAAGAGTGAATTTGCACATGCGCCAACCGCACCCCCGTCTCTTCGAATGCTTCGCGTCGCGTCGCGACTTCTAACGATTCTCCTGGTTCGACAAATCCGGATAGACAACTGAAGTAATTCTCTGGCCAGCGTTTCCCTCGTCCGAGAAGCACACGCTTCGCATCTGCGGAAATCGGAGCAATGACGACTGTCGGATCGGTGCGAGGAAAGGCTTGATTGTGTAAACCTGTGCGAGTCGGACAGGCCGTCGTGGTGCGCGGGACACCTGCATCGGCGGGTGGACAGACGATTTTGGAACCTCCGTGCGTGGATAATGTTTTGCCTCCACACGCTCCACAGAAGCGATTTCGAGCGTTCCAGTCGAGGAGGGAGCGTGCGTGGCTGAGAATTGCTGCGTCGTTGTGGTTGAGTGTGAGATCGATTCGGGTGGGAGTATATGCTTTTCCTGTTTCCTGTTGTTGTTGTTTCGATCGAAAGCGATTGTAATGAGATGAAGAGACGTCGAGGGCGAAATAGGGTACGCCGTGATACATTCCAAGTGTGACTGCGGGAGTTTTGCAGCCTGCTTCGAGGTCTAGTCCGAGGAAGACTAGTCGTGGATGATGCTCTTTGGGATCAAAGTTTTGGATCTGAGCTTTTTCGTCTTGAGCATAGGGTTCGCCGATCCAGTATTTGAGGTCTTCATAGCTGGAATAGGCAAAGTTGCCATTGGAGTCTCGTAGTGCATTCAAGTCATTGAAGGTGAGGTATTTGGCACTGGGATGTTTCGAGGCTTTGTCTAGTAAGTCGGATTGAGATCTCAGAAACGCTAAGCGATCGATTTTGCCATTCGAGAAATATGCATTGTTGCCCAAGCCGAAAATTTCAGTTAGTGTTGTTGGTGGTGGCATGATGGTTATGCTGGTTATAGGAGACGTGAGGGATGTTGCACGAACTAACATAAAAGGACGAGGGGAAGCTGTGGTTGAAGTGAGGAGACATGCGTCGCTTACTAATAACCTAGGTACCTTAGGCTGTAATTGCATATATAGGTATATCTGTAAGGTACGACTGTACTGTACAGTCTGTACTTCACAATTTCATGAGGGCTATGCTCATTAGCGACGAATCTACAGCAAAATATCACATGTTCGACCCTACAAGTACCGTAGACATTCGCTCTGTCGTGCACGGTACGAATATCTAGTAGGTGTAGTCCAAAGTGTCCTTTGTTCACTTGCACATCGAGAGACTTCTGAAGCTGTCTTACATATATTATTAAATTGCAAAGCAGAAGAATGGAACAAGTCTACTGCCTGTCTCATCTCCAATCATCTGGGGTCTACAAGTAGAACTCAAACAACAAAGTACTGTAAACATCAGGTAAGGAACAAAAAAACGTGGAGAGCTATCGAAAGCGTGTATAATCCAACCCTGTCAGCGCGTCAATCACATCTTCACATATCACAAACATGGCTGTCCAGCAACGAGTCGCCGAGCTCACGTGTGCGCGAGCTGAGCAAGAATCGTTTCAGAGACGCGTTGCCATGACTGAGGTCAAATACCTGGATCTTGGATTAGAATACCACGCCTTTCCGCTGCAGCTTCGTAGGACCGAAGGAGTAGCACAGGCAGACTGTCTCTCAGCCTTCATTATGCGTGAGGGTGCTCCCGCGCCAGATTGTATTGGATTCCTCAACGACCTCTGGGAGTTGTGCGCCACAAGTCGACATCACTTGGAACACTACCAGTTGGACGCAGCGGGCGCTGCATTGAGTACGGCAACAGAAATATTAGAAGCACTGGATGAGCAATTAGTGGCCGTGCATATGTGCGTGGATACATTGCATCGCCAATTCTCCGATATGATGGACGACAATGTTGACTTTGCAGAGGGGAGGGAGTACCGACTGGCAATGCTGCCTGATCAGGGTCGCGAGAAGCACGCATTGCTACGTGGTTGGGCCATGGCGTTGCCACATGTTCGGGTATTGTTTCGTAGTGGCGCCGTGCGAAGCGAAGATGAGGCACTTTCGATGGTTGTTTGCTCTGTTCCCCCAGCATGTTTGCCATCTGGCATAGCGGGTGTACGAGGCGTGCTCCCAGCCCGTGTCGCTCACCCAAACTCAGATGTCGGGAATGATCTGCAAGGCGAAAACATGCCCACAGTATTCCCGGACGACAGCTGAAGATACAGCGTCCATGACAGTCATCGAAGAACACAATACATGTGAATGCGATATGGGAATGATTCACTCCTCGATGTTGCCTTCGCTCTGTCCTTGGTGCAGATCACAGAGTTGAAAAATGCTCATTAGAGTCTTTGGCCTGAGATGGGGAGTATCCTATTCATGCAGACATCTTCGCCACTTCGTCTCTTTCTCGCCTTATCATATCACATGCCAATTCATCTCTGCATATCGTGCACGCTCAAAAAGTACAACAAACACTGAACACTGTCGCCGCAGCTTTAGTCCTTCTTCCTGTCCTCCTTCCTTCCTGTCTCATCCTTCTTCTCCATTCAGCTCTAAGCCCCATCTCCCCAGATACCCACCACACCCATCGCGAATCCCGTTCCTGCCACAAGAGTTCTCACAAACTCCATGAACTGCTGGTCCCTCGCGCTCTTCTCCACTTCCTCTCCATTTACGTCGTCGTCACCCTTGATCACCTTGTTCGATTCGAAACCTAGACCCAATGCTCCGCTCCCAGTGGCAACGAGCGCCGTCCACAGAAGGTAGGGATGTCTGATCCGGGGAGGCGACAAAGCGAAGGCTGTGAGGAGGGATACCGCTGAGACGGCCGAAAGAGCTCGAATGTGGAGAGTGGAGAGAGTCTTCTGCTGGCTCAGAGTGTGTGCGGCGGGTTTGGCGGAGGGCAGAGTGAGGAGTGATGGCAGTGCTTGCGTTGATAAGGTGTAGCTCACGCCGGTCAAGAGACCAAGGCTTATGGTGCCGACAAATTTGAAGACGGCGATGGAGGAGGGCATTTTGATCGGTCAGTGATCGGTCGTTGTTGTTTGACGAGTGTTATCTGTTGATGCAATGTATGTGGCTACACCGTGTATTTCGCTGACGTCGGTTGGAGGTTGAAGAGGGCAACCGATAGGTACATGTCAGGTATACTGGCAGCTGCACGGTCAGCATCTGGAAGGTGAGCTAAGCTATGATGGGCTAGCGTTGCTCAGGAATGCCATGCCTCGGACATAAGGTAGGAGGTACATACACGATATAATGTCATTCCGCTGTTCTACAACGTTTCCTCTGGAGGTACTGCTGAACAAAACACCGTAAGTCGATAGTGATGTCCTGCTCCTCTCCTTCTGCTCTCCCTCTCTCATTCTTGCATACCTTAGTCCGAGAGGTACACTTGCAAACGTAGCATCCGAGTTCATTATTACGGCCGTACCGCTGTAGAAGGATATAGTACCGACCAGGATTCGGCTTGCTCGTCATACAATCTCACCTAGTCGACTTCTCTACCTTTATCCCTACTCACCTTCTCTCTCTCTCTCTCTCTTTCCTTGTCTTCTCTCTCTCTCTCTCTCTCTCTCTCTCTCTCTCTCTCTC